TGGGCAGCTGCGGGGGCAAAGGGAGGAAGAGGAGGAGGAGGAGGAGGAGGAGGAGGAGGAGGAGGAGGAGAAAGAGGAGGAGAAAGGGCCACGAACCGTGTGAGGGGTGCGCTAAACCAATAATTAATTCCATTGCTTTGCCTGCTCGAAAAACGCATGTACAATCAAGATGCAATCGGTCCCCATGGCCCTGCCACACGTTCCTGACTCGGGAACGGCTGACAAACATGAGAATGCCATGGCCATGTCGCGCGTTCGTAACCTGGGCAAACTGAAGTGGTGAGAGTCCCACAGCCCTCCCACACGCTCGTGATTGCGGACGCTGGTGTGGTGGGACCACCATGGCCATGCTCAGCGTTTTTGATGCTGCTGCTAGTCAACATGAGATGATAGCAACTTCGATTCGCAACTTGCCCCGTGGATTAGACAGTTCGGCCTCCGCGCCTATCTCCACAATCAAATCCTGTTGGACGGGGATAATAAACATAGAAGGGGGAACAAAAAGAGGGTATACTTTATTTATCGTCCGCGCGCGGATAACCAAGAGTACGCCATGCGCCCCAGAAAAGCTGTGTCAACTGTCGAACGCAATGCCTCAACAAAAATTGGGACGGCTCTATCTCCGCGCGACCCCGCGCACTTGCACGAGGGGGCTCTCAGAAGACGGGTGCAGCTCCCCGGATGGTGCCCGAAGAAGCACTAGGCCGAGGCGAAGAAGGATGGTTTCGCTTAGTCGCCGTCGCAGCTGCATATCATCCTCCGACAATCCCCTGGACTGAGGGGCGCCGATAGGGGGGACTTGCATATGAGGGGATGCATCGACCTGGCATCGGCGATACATCGCCAACAGATCGGCGATAGGCCCCCGATCGTGGATCTGCACCTTCCCGTGCCGGGTTGGGGCCATCTGGCCCCTATCGGCGAGCAATGGGCGATCTGGGGTCGATGCACCTCCCCCCCTTATGCCTATCCCCCTCTGTCGTTGCCCCTGATGGACGCGACCCCTCCCCTGGCACTGTGCCTCGTCCGGCGAAACATCGGGCTGCGGCTCCGCGATGGAGCGGACGCTGCAGCCGCTCAGCGGCCTCCTCGGAGAGGGGGCGCGCCGGTCTTCGGGGCGCCGCGGCACGCGCAGTCAGCGGGCGCCACCTCCGAGGCTCCGCGCGGAGACCTTCAAGCAGGAGAGGCTGGTGGGCCTGTTTTCCACCACCACCACCACCATAAGTTGGAGGCGGAGGGGGTCCTCCTCCTCCTCCTCGTCCTCGTCCTCGTCCTCGTCCTCCTCCTCCTCCTCCTCCTCCTCCTCCTCATGCTCCACCTCCTTCCCCCTCCAACTTATGGCGGTGGTGGTGGTGGAAAACAAGCCCATCAGAGGCAGCCAATGCGTCAGCAGGCGAAGCCAGGCACGGATGGCACCGTCGAGAAGCGAACCACTGGGCCGACTGTGGACGAGAGGTAAGCAGCTGGCCACTTCCGCAGGGACATAGAAGTCGTGAGAGCGCGTGGACGCAAGGGGGAGGGAGGTGGGGAATGGCAGAGCGCGGAGGATGTGGGGAGGAAGAGGAGAGGAGAGGGAGAAGCATGGGACTGGGTGGGATCGAGCTCCCTGGAAGGTCCGCGAGCCCGAATGCTGCCGTGGACGAACCACTCGCGCAACTAGCACGCAGAGGAAAGCCACGTCCGAAAGGAGACCAGCATCGCTCGCAGGCCGGACTTAAAGTCCAGCGTGCTGCAGAGGGGCGAAGTCGAGCTGCCCGACCCGTGCCAATTTCTTGCTGCTCCCGGGGGATCCCAGAAGAGGGAGACATCAGAAAACCATCGCGGCAGGCCCGGAGCTCCGAGCGCCCCCTCCGAGCCTCTGGCGTGCACCGAAAAGCCAGACGCGTCAGAGCCAGATCTCGAGACCTGGGTCGGGCATGCCCCCCTTACCGGCGGATCTTGTGCGAACATTCCCACTGAACAAATCCCAAAATACACCCACATAGTCACAGATGGATAAATATGTATTAAAAAAATCCTCCCCAGACCCGACTTGAGTCGAGACCTCGAGATCGGATCGGGCTCCCTGGAGGCTCTCCCCCTCGCTCCCCAGGGGCCAAGCAGAGCACCGAGAGATCGCCGCTCCTGGGGCCCCTGCCCCGAGGGGGCGCGCTCCGACCAGCATCTCGAAGAGAAGCCAGCCGCGGCAGCGGGGGCTCTCCAAGCAGGGGGCCACATGCGAACCCGACCCCCTGCCCCCCACGATTTCTGAGGGGTGGAGGGGGGTCCACTTCGCTCGGGAGCTCCCGAACGAAGGGAACCCCACCCTCCCCCCCAGAAACCGCGGGGGCCAGGGGTAGGGTTCGCATGTGGCCCCCCACCAAGACAAGCGGCGCGGCATCGGCGCCCTTCCTGCTGGTCGCAGGGCCTGGTGCACCAGCTCTCGGGGATCGGCCCCGAGCGACTGCCTCAGGTCGGGCATGTCCTCCGACAGGCGGACGTTGGAAGAACACTCCAACATTGGCCGAAACAGTGCGCAAAAACAATACTATAGAAACAACAAAAACTCGTGCCCACACTATGGTTTGACTATTTAGGGTTCTTCATCCTGTAGAGGGGCACGCCCGACTTAACGACTGTCAGGCGGATCCGCCACCCGTGCACGGCCACCCGTCGAGGCTGGGCGGCTCTAGTGCAGCTCCTCGGCCCTCCCCCCTTTCAGCTGCACGCGAGAGCGACCCTGGGTAAGAGTGGCCTTTGGTGCGCGGCCCTTTGGGGGCCAAACATGCGCGCGCAAGACGCTACTGCTGCATTGCGCTCGGCGATCGGGGGGCCTGGTTAGGCCCGCATCAAAGGTCATTCCGGCGAATGGTCGCTGCTACGTGCAGTCCACCCTCCCACCCCTCCTCCTCCCCCCTGAGGGCAAGAAAACGGCGACCATGACCAAGACTGGTGCGAAGGTGGTCTGGGGTCCAGCTCGGCGTCTCGGCAATGCCAGTTCCTGCATTCACCACGTGAGTCGTAGCTTCTGCCACCGTGTCGGGGAGACGTAAGACTCGAGCTCGCCGAGCCGCGACGTGAGCGACCATGGCCAAGGCTGTGCGCGGAAACCTCGGTGTCGGTCTGAATCACCGGCCGTCCGTTTCCCTCGGCTCCTACGCCACCCTTTGCCCCTCTCGTGTCCCTGAGCATCTGACGTCACAACACTTGCGCGACGCGGGACCCTCGGGCCTCGCGACACCATCTTGGGAAGCGTTGTCTCTCAGTTGGAGAAAAACAATATCTAAAGTACAACCATTCCAGCCCTGGGACAGCCGTCCCCGATAGTCCACTACTCTGCCATCTGCATCGTTCTTTCGCAGTCGATGGGGCTTGGCTCGAAGACACTGCTGCATACTGCACTATTGGTTGTCCCTCTCTCAACTGCAGCGAGCGCTGGTGCCTTGGGCCCGCGACCGGAACGCTATGCCTCGCCAAGATGATTCTGGCAAGGTAGGCAAATCTGTAGAGATAAGAGCCGGCCGACGCCGCGGAGGAGCCAAGCAACTTCACATCGAAGGGCAAACAACATAAGGTGGGGCTAGTACAAGAGCGCCCCGTCTTTTGAAGGGGTAGCACTATCAGACAATAAGGACATCGCTACGCGTATGCAAATGTCAATGCAAAGGTCTGCGTACTAACCGCAAGCCAAGAGGCAGGCAAGCTCCCTCATCCGACGTCACATTCTGTCTGTTCGTGACATGGCCCCCCCGGATCTGGACCCCTTCCCCGGAGCAGGCTTTTTACCTCAAGTAGTTTTTGACAATCCTGGAGCACCGTAAACAGCCCACAGAGTTAATCCGAAGACTTAGATAAGAATATCCAGTGACTTACGTTTTTGTTGGTTTGCGATGCTTCGCCCATGGCGTCCCTTACGGAGCCACGGGTCTGTCAACAAAACGACTCTGGAATGAAAACCAGTCCCAAGGAAGAGGTCTAGACCTCCAGGGGTCCACATCATGAAAAAGCACGACGTCGGAGGTACGGGAAGAAGGGGCGACACGAACGACTTCTGTGCCCTCACCCTCAGCACAGCTGGCCGTCCAGGTCTGGCAGCAGGGCGCTCATCAGCTGGGCATTGTGATTGTTCTGCTCGAAGAACCGGATGCTTCTGCTGTGGTCGTCGTAGGCGCAGCCGCCCCCGATCACTCTCACAGGTTGTCCTTCTAAGGTTGCGGGCAGCATCCATCTCCCGCACAGGCTGCCCGTAATGAGGTTGCGGGCGACCACTGTCTTGTTGTTGTGCAAGGTCAACAGCCGGTCGCCGCTAATGTCAAGGGCGACAATGTCGGCGGTGTCGGTGGTGATATCCCAACTTGGCGACCATGCGCCTCGCCTTGATGAGTACCTGTACTCCGTCAAGCTCGCCCTGTGGGCGACCACGAGCGGGCCTTTTTGGCGACCGCCAGCAACGCGGACCGCGGGGGATTCGGCCTGCAATAGCGCCTCGCGGCGCCCAGTATTGCAGTCTAACATCACTGGGTGGGGCGCAGCATAACTGGACTGCTCATTGACGAGCGCCACCGGCCAACACACGAGCCCATCGCAATCCGCGGCGATATCCTCGATTGCGAAATCCTCCGTGACTGCGTTCACGTCGCAATACGACTTTGCCGAGCCGGTGGCGGGCTCTGGCTTCCAGACTTCCACTCTCTCGCTGGACGCCTCTTTGAAGCGGTATACCTGCGCGTGGTCCGCCAAGAAAACGTAATCTCCTGGGCACGCGACCGAATGAGGCCGGAAGAACACTTTGAGGTCGTCGGGCGGCTTCATTATCTCCCTTCTCACGTTCTTGACCTCAGGGACTCCGTCCCCGTCCTCTCCGCTCCAGGGCAGCATCGATTTCATGATGCTGTCGTCGTTGTGCAGCTCGATGCCGTTTTTGGTCACGATGATGTAGTGGACCGTCCAGCAGAACCCCACCAGCCACAAGAAACAGATCAACGCCATCGCTACGACCATCATGAATTTCGGCATCCACCTCAACCTCCCGCCCACCGGCGACGCCCTGCGCGGTGATGCCGCACCCGACGAGGGGCTGCCGCTGGCGTCCTCGTCCCCCTCCGTGAAGTCCTCGCAGAACATGAACAGAAATATCCGCCACCGAGCCTCTGGCACGCAGCGGAGGTCTGTCCACACATGGCCCTGGACCTAGGCAGCATTGAGGACGAAAGGTGCTCGCATGGTCACCAGGCCCCAACTTAGGGGGGGTACTGGGCGTTCCCTGGGCGCTCCTGGAGTGTGGCGCGGTGACTTGCCAAGGCCCTGGAAGCAAGCTCTCTGGGTCCCAACCTAAAGATCGCTGCATTATGGCCGCAGGCGCCCATTTCAGGGCCCTTTTGGGCTGCCTTGGAAGCTTCGAGGGTTGCTCCAAGGAGGCCCAAACCCGCCCAACGCCATGCTGTGTTTAAGCGATGTGAGCACTCTCGTTCCTTTGGTCCTACGGGCGTCCGCGATGGGCCCGAGAAGCTTCCAAGATCGCCCTACGACGGTTCCTAGGGCCCCTTAAGAGAAGGGGCCCCAGGAGCCCTCCCCCCCTGGATGGCCCCCGAGACCGCGAGCAGGACACAAAGTCACCCAAAAGAGGCCCCCAAAGGCCCCAAGATGCCTCCAAGGGGCCCCTGGTCCACGGTTCAGGCAAGGAGGTGCGATGGGCCGAAGGCTGCTAGCTCCACCGCCCCTGCGCTTGCCATAGGAGCACATGGCGTGCCAATCTGTTTACGGGTTTAGGCGTTAAGCCCTCACAAACGGTTCCCAATGGCCTCGGGCTCAACCCACCAGCTACACGAACGGCAATATGAACTCAGTCTTCCAACGCCTTTCCCAGTCAAGATTGAACAAAAGCATGATTTCCAAGATGGCTAAAGCTTCTCCTCCTCCCCCCCCCTCCTCCTCCTCCTCCTCCTCCTCCTCCTCCTCCTTCTCCTGCTCCTGCCCCTCCTCTTCCTCTCCTCCTCCTCCTCCTCCTCCTCCTCCTCCTCCTCCACGTCACACCCCGAGGCTGGTCGAACGGGCGGGCCAGGCGTTTCGCCTGAGAATTCCTCAGCATCGATATCTAATCTAAGATCATGGGGCTTCGAAGTTGCAGCAACTTCACGGATGGAGGTCGGGTCGCTTTCAACACCTGACTCTCGCTTTGGCGCCGCGCAAACTCGTCTTGAATATGTGCAACAATTTCACGGATGGGCCGGCGGGCGGTTGGCAAAATGTGTCTCTCGCCTTCGCACCGCGCACATTCGTCTTAAACGTTTGCGAGTGCTTCATGGATAGAGGGCAGTGCCTTTTCAAAATGTGTCTCCCGCATTAGCGCTGCGGGCATTCGTCTGAAGACTCTGCAGCACTTTCAAAGTTTCTCATGGTCAACGTCCCAGAAATGACGTTGTAGCACGATGTCTAAGTCACAGGAATGTTCTGGAGCGGTTCAGGATCGTCAAGACGCAAGAGTAGCGGTGATTCGCGGCGCTGAAGTCCCAGGAATGGTGTTCTGGCACAGCTCTGGATTTTCAAACGGTTGTCTTCCAACGGGCCACTCTCATCAGTAAAAATGAACCCTTATGCAACATAATGTTGGCATATGAAGAAGGGGCTCGGAGGGAGGGTTTACACTGGTCCCCCTCCTTCTGCTCCTCCTGCTCCTGCTCCTGCTCCTCCTCCTCCTCCTGCTCCTGCTCCTGCTCCTGCTGCTGATCCTGCTCCTGCTTATGCTCCTGCTCCTCCTGCTCCTCCTTCTCTCCTCCTCCTGCTCCTGCTCCTCCTCCTCCTCCTGCTCCTCCTCTTCCTCCTCCTCCTGCTCCTCCTCCTCCTCGTGCTCCTCTCTTCCCCTCCCCCCCCCTCCACGAATTTCCCGAAACACATATCCAACAGCTTGGTCAGACTCTGGCCCAAAGTTTGGCCACATAGACGCTTCCAGAGCAACAGAGAAGAAAACAACATCAAGGGCGGCGGTGGTCACCACAGGCGCCTTCGATCACATTTGCACAGAAATGACTTAGATAGCATAGCGGGTCGCATATTTTGTCAACCACTTCTGTAGATGTCCACACTGCCATGAGCACAAAGAATGGTCCAGCCGTCAGAAAGAGTGCTAAGGCAGCGTCGCTACCAGTGAACGTCCAGCCAAACACCCACCGGAGGAGCCTACACTTGAACGTGTCGTGCGTCTTCCAAGTTTTCAACTTCCCTATGAGGAACCAGAACATCAACCAAATGAGAAACGTAAAATTCACATGGACCACGCAGAAACCCCACGCCGCCGGGTCTGAGTAGGTCTCGCTGTACTGCATCCCCAGGCACAGGTAGTGGCACGCCTCCAGCAGGCTCGTGGTGCCGAACGCCGCGCACTTGAACATGCAGTTCGTCAGGGGTTTCCACGAGTTTTCGGACCGCTGCCACTCCGACTGGGCCACGCTGGTGGCGCTGCAGGGCGTACTCCTCTCACTCGGCGACGCCACGTCCAGCGACTTGGAGAGCCCTAGGCGGACCGTGCTCTCCAGCGCGAAGCTGGTGTTGTAATACCTCCTGACGGGCGACGCCGCGTCGGCCGGCTCGGTCTCGAGCGGCGCTCCGGGGGCGATGCGCGAGAGCAGGGGCAGCCTGAAGATGGCGTCCAGGGGCTGCTGCTCGAATGCCGCAGTGTTCTCTGTGCGTACTCTACGCTGCAGCACCTTGAAGTGGTCATCCCACCTGGGGCGTATCCTCTCCCCCAGCAGGGTCGCGGTCGTCTCGCTCGCCTTGACGGCGGCAACGAGCCCGAAGAAGATCGCGAGCACCAGGTGGCAGCAGGCGCTGCACAGGCAGAGCATGTAGGCGTTCAGCACAACCTTGTACCCAGTGCTCGGCATCTGCGCCTGGAAGAGCATCTCCCCCGCCAGCGACAAAATGACCGTGGTCAGCAAAATGGCATTGTTCAGCCTGCTGACACCGGCCTCCATCAGATCCCGCACCTCTTCGCGATCCATGCTGGACATGTGTATGAAGAGGTTGTCGCCCTGATAGGTGTTCATCTGCTCTGTCTGCAGGTCCGTCATCCACGCCTCCCTGTTGAATCTGTAGAGGTCGAACCCCCACTTGTATAGATACGCCGCGCCAGCACCCGCAACGAACACAGCGGCAGCCGCCATGGCTCCACCAGAGCCGCCACTCGCCGTGCACACCAGCCTATGCCCTCTCCCTCCGCGCCTCTCCACTCACAACGCGTGAGCCCAAATGGCCAGCGCAGTACAATAAACGTGCAGAATAAGAGTGCACGACAAGGATGCAAGGGCCCCGGAAGGCCATGCCGACACTTCTCGAGCGGGGCGCGCGCACCGCACGTGGCCGAGGATAAGCCGAGAGGGGAAGACACAAAGGTAGCCTGGGAAAGCCGCTCATCTTAAGCCGGGCCTGTCCCCCTACAGGCCGATTTTGGACGAAAAATAATACATAAGCAAAAAAATACCCCCAAACTAATAAACAATAGTCAAGAAACAGTTCCAGATTCCAGAGCTATTTTTTACTATGTTTGAATATTCCTCCTGTAGAAAGACATGCCCGACTTAACGCTAATCCTTACTATCCGTGTTGACTGTAGGAGGGGGCGGGATAGCCACATGGCCAGTGCGGGGTGGAGCCGCGTACTGGCGCTGAACCCCCGATCGCGCAGCCCCCTGGCCCTTCTGCCACACGGCGCGAGCAGCACGCCGGAGCCGAGGTGTGCGCGTGGCGGTACGCCTCCTGGACGTCTTCTCGTCCCCTGAGGTACGTCGTTGCAAAAAAAAATCAGCATCCCGAGAACGCACGACCATAGCCCTAGACCTGATCTTTCGGCATTACCGATCGAGCCGGGTCAATCTGTAAGCTTCCAAGGCCCGAAGCTGGGCGAAAACGCCCGTTGTGAAAAGAATGGGGCTCCGGGATCTGAGGGTCCCTGGCTGGCCACCCGTCGCAGCTGGCGGCCGCCCCCGACGCGGGAGCTTCTGCGGCTGCGCCGCCTGTCGCTGCCCCGCCCCCGTGGGCCCGCACAACGCCTCGCGTGGGACCCGGACGCTCGACTGCCGAGGCGCGCGGCCCTCCCCCAGTGCCACGGAGGCTGAGCAGAGCTTCGTCGGCAAGCGGTCGCGCACCGACGTGCTTGCATCCCACGCGCGGGGGTCTGAAGACGCCATGGCTGCTCTGTCTGTCCTGGTGGAGCCGGAGTCCTGCAGTCGCCACCTCCTCGGGGAGAAGGACCACAACATCATCCAGCATCCCCTCACCCTTCCAAAAAGACACCAAGTCGCCCAAAACCTGGTGGACCATCGATCCTCAACTCTCGATCCTGAGGAGAAGCTGGCGACCCTCTGAATGGCGACCCTCCTTCGCAGGATTGAACGGCGTGCATTCCCCGAAGTCTCGACCCCGTACTGAAGACCAGCCTTCCGTCCTCGAGTCGCTCCCTCGCGGCCCGAGGGCCTGACAAGGGCCCCCGGGAGGCTGGCAAATGCGACAAGGCTTCCGTCGTGGCTGTGCTCGCAGTGCGAGGAGGCATGTCCTCTGGGCCACGCCCCGGGCCTCTGGCGGCCGCTCGGGGCGCGCCGGGCGTCCCCCGGACGCCCGATCGGCGAGGCGCAGCTGCTGCAGAGCACCTCGGGGCTGGAAGACCTCCAGACATCCACGAGACCGCACGACTTGAGCGGACCCTGGAAACGGTAGGGCCGTTTCCTTGCCATTTGAGAAATGACAGCTGCACGTGAGAACGACAAAAAAAGCGGCTCCACGAAGACGCAGATCAAAACGGCTCCAGACACTGAACCAGAACCGAAGAAGATGACAACACAAAAAGCGGCGACGGAACTGGGGGACAGAAACGGCGCCGAAACGAGCCACGGGACTGCAAAACGGAGACGGCCCACCCGAACACCTGCCCCTCGAGCCTCCAACCTCCACAGGCCCAGAGGCGCCCTGGCACCCCAAACCCCCCACGTCGTGATTTTTTCACTGCGTCGACCCCTGGAGGTCCCGACCCATTCCCCTGGACCGGTTTTTCATCCGGAGTCGTTTCTTGACGGTGCCGAGGGCCGGCAAGGGCACCCAGAGGCCGAAAGTAGCAAAAAGCCTTGCGTCGTGATTTTTGTCGCAGCGCGAGGGGGTCTGGGACGGGCGCGAGGCAGCGGCGAGCTCCTCGGCGCCACGGCGATCCTGGCGCTCGCCGGCGCGGCGGGCCCGCGGGCCGCCGTCTGCGGCGCGCTGGAGGGCCTGCGCACTGCGCGCGCCCTGGGGCCGAGGCAGGAGGCACGACTGGGAAGGCTGCGCGCAGGCAGCCCTCCAGGTAGCCCCGGCTGGACACAGCAGGCCCGCCCGAGTAGTCCGGCACGGCCTCAGCACCACGGCGCCGCCTCCAGCGGTGCCCCTGGGGCGCTCCGCGCCCCACAGATGGGGTGCTGAGACCGCCTGGACTGCTCAGGAGGGCGCTCGGTACCCAGGCTCCCTCACGGGCGCGGGCGTGGAGCAATGGACGGAGCAGATGCCACGCCTGCCCCGCTCGCGTGACGGTCGTCGTGGCGACTCTGGGTGTCTGGTCGCCAGCGGGACACGAGCTAACGGACCTGACAGTTCATACGAACCATGTCGCGCCAAGGTGGGCCATCAATGAGGGGGGAGAGCGATGCCAATCCAAAGCATTCATACCGAGCTTACTGCACTCAGCGGCCACGGTTTTGCACATCGACGTCGATTGTTTTCTTGTGGACAATGAACATCCGGATATTTTCAATAAGTCCAGCAAGTGCGGAAATGTCCATGGGAGCAGTGTCGTGCCCGGTGGAGATGTTGGAATTGTGTGGGTGCACGGGTGCGCAGGAACTTCCATAAAACATTATCTTGCCAAGGGTGGTTACGATAAGTTGATCGTGAGCGACCTTGTGCGATCGGACACGGGGTTTTGGCTGTCGCATCTTTGTTGTTCGCGGTCAACCGAATTCGATGGGTGTTCCAACGTGGATGTAGTTTCCATGAAAAGCAGGACATGATGCGCCATGTGTTGTTGACCCCGGTGGAACATCCTTGGGTGACCTGTGCGCAAGCTACTTAGACTCGACAAGATCGCAGAGCGGCGCGCGTGCGACCGCCGTCTCCGTCCGGGGGCGACAAGCTTTATAGATCAGACGGGGCATCCCGTGGACAGGGGCGCACAATTGGGGAGACCGCGAGCAATCAAAATGGTCGGGGACGTGGTAGTCGGTAGTATTGCTCACACTCTCGACCCATGCAGTAATAACGTGGCGGAATACTGAGGGCTGCTCGTTTGCCTTCAAGACTCTACCTGCCGAAGGGCGCAACGGGTCGAGTTCCAAGTCGGCTCCATGATCGTCGCGAAGCAGAGGGCCATGGAATGGGCGTGCCGGTCGGCCGAGCTCCGGCCTCTTTTGGACGCCCGAGTTATCCGGGGTAACTCGGGTCCGGGGTAACTCGGGTTTGGGTTCCCGAAAAACGAACCCGAGTTATCCCTGACCCGAGTTACCCCTGATGATTCGGGGCTCTTGGACGCCCGATTCATCCGGGATAACTCGGGTCCGGGGTAACTCGGGTTTGGATTCCCGAAAAGCGAACCCGAGTTATCCCTGACCCGAGTTACCCCTGATGATTCGGGGCTCTGACTCTTTGCGCGCAAGTATGGCGCCTTCTTCGCACCCTTGAGGAGGGAGGGGCTCGCTGCGCCGTCCGGCACATTCTCCGGGAGTTCAACGCTCCCGCGGATTCACTGACAAATGAAGCAATCAATGCCAGTCGTGGCCAGAACAACTCCTGGTACCTGAATCCATGACATCTGACGCCGAACACTCAATACAGTAGTGGCGCATCTTTTACATTGTGTATATATATATGTGTATATGTATATGTATATGTATATGTATATGTGTATATATTCATATATATATATATATATATATATATATGTATATATATGTATGTATTGTCGAAGCCCTCCAGTACCCTTTCTTTCCTCCCGCCCCCTTCCGCCCTTCTCCCTCCCCCAATCCCAGCGGGACCGTTGAAATCTGCCGACCCCTTGTGGGTCTCTAGGCGCGTGAAATTCTCTCCCTCCAAACCGGCAATTCGACCCCCCGCCCCCCCCGGGCCCGGCCGGACCCCGGACCGAACGCGTCACAGGGCTCCAGAACTCGTCAAAAAGGTAGCAAAACTCTGCAAAAAGGTACCGAAACGCTCCCTGGACGGCCCCCTAGACCACGATTCGCCGCCATAGCGCCCCCAGACGCCCGCGATGGCCTCCAGGCGGTCTCCGAAGCTGACAAGACGCTCCAAAAAAAGGCCCCTCAGATGCGCCCCGAAAGGGTCGCAAGAAAATCACAACGTCCACAACAGGCAGAAAAACCTTCAACATCGCTCCCAGACGGCCAAAGGGGCCCCAAAGCAGGGTCGCTGAGGGTCCAGCAACAGCCCACGAAGCCCCCAAGACAGCCCAAGAGGGCCCCCATACGGCTCCAACACGGAGTCCACAGGACACCTTCTCGAACCTTCGGCTCCAAGACGCTCCCAGCCTGCTCCAAGAACACCCCAAAAGGGCCTGCGAGACCTCCCAGAAAACCTTCGAGGCCTCCAAGAAGCCACGAGGATGTCCCCAAGAGGCCCCAAAACTACCTGCAAGACGACCCCGTCAGGCCTCGCACGAGATCCTCTTCACCATCCGTGTGGCCACCTACCTGTATACCGCGCAAGGTGGCGGGATGCGCCGCGTCCCATTCGACAACGACTCGTCCAAGTTTTGGACCGCCGCATGCCGTCTACAGTCGGGACGCTGACCTAAGGAACCCCACATAAGGAACGAGGCCCCTTTTTTCCATGAGTCAAAATTCGATTTCCGATCGAAAACATAAGGAAAACCTGAGGCAAGCTGCGAAACACTTAAGGAACGCGGAACCCCTCCCCAACGAACAGGGTTCCTTCTTCAGGGCCCCGACTGTATGGGCGCGGGTGTTGACAGGTGATTTCCCCAAATCGTCGCTGCTGATTCTCCTCCTCCTCCTCCGAGGACCCTCCTCCGCCTCTCCCCCATCCTCCCCCTTTTCCTCCTCCTCCTCCGCTTTCTCCTGTTTGGTACCATGTCACCATCTCCGCGTCCCATCATCAACACCATCACCACCAG